GTATCTACTGTCTTAGATCTTTTTGTTGACGAACCACTCATAGTTAGGAGCAGAGGTTTTCTTTTTCTTGTAGTTAGAGCAGCTGCCCTTTTCCCTAAATTTTGTAAGAATTTTGTAGAATTTTTTGATAAAATTTTGTAGTTTGTTAGTTTCCAGTGGTGAACCAGAAAGAGTTTTTTTGGTTTGGGTTAGTTGTAATTTTGTTATTGATTTTTTGCAGTTTCTTTTGTAATCTTTGCATTGTTTTTTCAGCTGAAATTTTTGGTTTTTGTGCTCTTATGATGGCTTGAACTATGTGCTTTAGTAAGTTCTATTCTTCTATATTTTGGTATTTAGATAGTATATCATTGATAATTGTATTGGTCTCAGGTTGTCTACTAGTTTTTCTGTCGAACCTCTAGAGACAAGGTCTGCTTTCTGATGGTTTTAGTAATAATTTATATTCAACCAATAGATGATCAGAATTTCCAAAGTGAGTTTTTGTAGTTTTGTACACGTGGTTATGATCACTATCAATGAAGATATAATCAAGCCTTGTTGTCATTATGTTTTCACCTCTCGTGCGTTGGTTAAAAGTGATAAAAGGTTTTTTCTCTGAGAAGATAGCTGTGTCTATAAAGTCTATTAATTTTGACTTGAGCAATGCTCTTGATGTGTCATATTGTGAAGTTGCTTGACTTATTCAGTTAACCTCTAGATCTAGATTAGTGTTAAAGTCATCTGCTAGAATATTTATATACCCTTCTTTATATATTGGTGACCAATTTGTGAAGAATATAGTTCTATTGTTTATGCTTGGAGGAGCATAGATATTTGTTATTCAGAAGGCTTGATTTCTAATTTCTGTCTGTGTTGAAGTTACTCGACCTTTATGTGAGCTTTTGCAATCTTTTAATTTAATGTTTTTTCTCCCTGCTAAAATAGCTGTTCTTTCAGACCAGAATGAGTCGTAGCCCTATTGTTGTACTAGGAAATCTCTGGTCGATTTTTCTTTAAGATTTGTTTCTTGTATTAGAATTAAGTCTAAGTGATAGGATTTTAAGAGTGTTAATGTATTTTGAGCTTTTGATCTATTGTTTAAACCTTTTATATTTAGTGTAGCAATTTTGATCATGTTTATTGATATGAATAATTTGTTACTACACTTGTTTAATCTCAGTAATTTAGATTTGGTTCCTAGGGAGGCTCTGAGTAGAGCCTTTTCCTAGTCATTCTGAAGGAGAGCTACCATCTTTTGGACTATTTTTCTTCTTACGTTTCTTGGAGGTTACAATATTAAAAGTAATCTCTTCTATGTTGTTATCTTTTCTGAGTCTGAGTTCTCAACAGTTTTTGTTAGATAAGATTTGTCAGCTTCTTTTGTTGCATTTTCTGAAGCAATTTCTGTAGTAGTTTTTGCTAGATTATCTTTATTTGAAGAATCTGTGTTTTGACTACTAGTTTCTGAGGTTTTAGCAGGAGATGTTTCTGTAGGTTCAGAGGATATTTGCATATTGTTAATGTAGGGATTTTCTGAGCTGAAGTTTTCTTGGTGATTATTTTCTTTAGCTATTCTTTGTTTCTCTCTCAAGAGCCTGAGATCTTTCTGTTTTTTTTCTGAATTCAATTGAGGCTTTTAATTCTTCGCATTCCTTTTTGATGTGGCCTTCTTTTTCACAATAAAAACAGACTTTTGGTGCATCCTTCCATTCTGTCATGACTTTGTGATAGTCTATATGAGTAGTTCTAGGTAATCTTTGCATTACATCAGGGTCATCTGTTGTTTCAAAGGTAACTAACCATTGGTCTGATAGTACAGTGGTACCTTCAAAGAAGAGGGGTTTAATTGAGGTGATTGTTCCAAAGTCTTGGAATGCTTCTAAGATGAGATTATTGATATGTTTAGAATTGCCTAGTGGAGTATTTTTGAGGTTTACTGTAAGAAAGGTTCGTCTTATATTAATTGGTAAGAAGCCAAAAAGAGTTTGTTTAAAAAGACAAATCCCCTCTGTAATATAAGTTTGTAGGCTAGCTTTGTTTTGAAAGATTACTTCCAGGAAAGAACGTTTGCCTTTAGAAAAATGAAACTTTGCTGCCATTAGATCTTCTCCTAGTTTTGCAGCAAGAGCTGCCATGATATCGTTTGATGCAATATTGCTCATATTTTGTATATTCAGTATGAGAGCATTATCATTCTTTGAGTGAATCTTTGGTTTTGGGAGGGAGCTAGTGAAGGTAGCTTTTCCACCCTTGAATTT